ATATCTTTTTGAATCAGTGTTTTTGTGTCTTTTGGGTAGATACCTAGGAGTGGGATTGCTGGGTCGTAGGGAAGCTCCATGGTTAGCAGTTTGAGGAACCTCCAGTTTTCTCCACATCCTTGCCAACATTCACACTGCCTTTTAACATCCATACTTCTTGTTTGACTTCTAGATTTTGGTCGCTACTTTCAAACAATATTACAAATATGTCAGTAAAAGGTCAAAATATCTATAGTTAAATATTCCAAACATATTCAATCTGTACATTGGGTAGTGCATGTGAACTACATGTGAAATTATATTAAGTCCAAAGAATCAATAGATGGTTTGTATTTTATATACGCTGTTCAATTAAATTTTAGCATTTAAAATTTATCTTTTCAATAAAGTTTTATTGACTTTTCCATGAGTTTCTAATGCTGTATAAGTTTCAGGAGTACAGCCTTAGGAATACATACCAATATGTGTATCCACCTGGCTGTGCCCACCATGACAGTTTAGTATATTCATACTGTCAAATTGACCCTCTTTGCCCATTCTTCCCATTCCCTTACCCCCTCCCCCAAACTGCTGCATCTTCCTCAGAGTCCAAGAGTTATTTTTGTTGTGTTTTGTTAGTTTGTTTTACTTAAAAAAACATTTTTTAGATGTCGATTTTATTTCTAATTTCAGAATTCCCAGCGTCTTGAAGATAAGTATCGCCGTCACAGTTTGTTTGGTTCTGGCAAGGACTATACCAAGAGTTGGTGGACGGCTCTTTCCCATCAACTGCTGACTGAGGGATTCCTGGTAGAAGTTTCTGGATACAGCAAATATGCAAGGATTTACAAAATTGCAGAAAAGGTAAAACAGTGTCTAAGTCTGACTGTTTGACTTCATTTTTCTTACTATACCTGATGAGCTTTTTCTTGTGTTAATAGGGTAGAAACTGGTTTGATAAAGCCAAATTAGAATCTCCTCCAGAACTTCTCCTTCAGGCTAATGAAGAATTATGTCCAAGGAAGTTTCTTCTACCAAGGTTAATTTTTTTAAAACTTTTGGGTTTTTTGTTGTTTAAGTGATTCAAATTATACAAATTTATAAGTAGCAGGAAAAATGAGCAATGATAGTGTTTTTGAGTACTTTTAGTCAGTTTGGGGGCAGTGAGAGAAAGGTAAGTCATAGACTGCTTTCTTGGTTGATAGAAAGTAGTTAAATACAGTGTTTTAAAAGCTGTTTTTCTGTTGTTGAAAGCAGCAGAATTGAGATGAATGAAATATGTTCATTCACTTCAGAGTTCTTTTCTGCTTAGGAAATGAAAACCTAGAGGAATAGTTTTAATGTGCAGATTTGTAATAAGACCTAGTGAGACAATGTAATACCTTTAGGTTATTAATTGGGACAAGGTTATGTTCCAATATATGTAGAATTCATAATATTCCAGGGAAAACTGACGAGATACGAATATATTTTGCTTTAATGTTAGGAAATTCAGGCTGATTTAAAGAATCGACTGTTAATTAATAAAAGAGAGTTAATACTTTTTAGCCAGACACTCTCCTGGTTACTAAGTCTTCACAAGATAATTATTTTTATACTTAGATGGCAACTGAGGAAAAAAAAGCAAAGATAAATTAAGAAACTTTTCTAGTTGCATTGGCTAAATCTCTCTCTCCCTCTCTCTCGCTCCGCTCTCCCTCCTTCTCCCTTCTCCTCTCCCCCTCCCCT